GGAATAATCCGCCCGTCCAAAAGTCCACGGGTTCCACCATTACATATGGTGCCGAAGAAATCCGGTGACTGGCGTCTCTGTGGTGACTACAGGGCGCTCAACAAAGTTGCTGCCAGGGATAAGTATCCAATCCCACACATTCACGACTTCACCACAACTCTAGGTAGCTAGTCTGTTTTAAGCAAAACAGAACTGGCTTGCCGAACAACCTCGTGGTGTCAGCTAGGTGGTTCGGGATTTTCCCGTTCCAGCAAATGGTTCGGCGGCAGTGTTCCAGGACGTGGTGGGTTTTCGCCTAGCAAGCGTTCTCCCTATAAAAAGCCACATATGTCCGTTTAACAACACTGTGACGTGGCGGACGTGACTCGCCACTAAATAAAGTCACTGCCCCTTGCTTCATCCTGGCGAAGCATTGTATTCCAGCTAGTTTATGCTGTAATTCTGGGGAGCATTGGGCCCCTGTTTGACAAAGAAACAAACGAAAGGCGTATGAACTGAGCAATCACTCACCGGCTCCCAATGGGCGCGATTCCCTGAATTCGCTCCGCTGCCTTGCGGGCAGGCTATTCAGCTAAAGGCTCGGGGTGGTGTCCCCTAAGTCAACACCCTACTTCGGCTTGGGCAACCGGGTAGTATCTCGCCCTCTGACGAAACCATGGCTTTAATGCGTTGTGTTGTTTTCTTTTATAACTTCCGTACATTCTTTTGTGTTCCATGATTTCTGATGGCTCTATGTCTATTAATAGATAGTTGTAATATATATATATATATATATATATATATATATATATATATATATATATATAGATCTAGATATAGATATATAGATATATATATAGATATATAGATATATATAGATATATATTACAACTATCTATTAATAGACATAGAGCCATCAGAAATCATGGAACACAAAAGAATGTACGGAAGTTATAAAAGAAAACAACACAACGCATTAAAGCCATGGTTTCGTCAGAGGGCGAGATACTACCCGGTTGCCCAAGCCGAAGTAGATATAGATATATATATATAGATATATAGATATATAGATCTAGATATATAGATCTAGTCTGCGTCTATGACCAACTACCTGTGGCGCCAGACGATATCGCGCAAACAACAGTTATCAAGCCGTTTGGCCTTTTCGAGTACCTCAGAATGCCTTTTGGCCTCAGCAACGCTGAACAAACTTCTCAGCGTTTCACTCATGAAATAACGCGAGGACTCAGATTTTATCCTTATCTAGATGACATTCTCATTGTTAGCTCTTGACAATGAACACCTCTTTCAACACATGACGCAACATAGGATTACCGTCAACCCCGATAAGTGCGAGCTTAGCCAAAGATCCATCGACTTTCTCGGCCCCACGATATCCGCCTCTGGCATTGAAGCCTTGCCATACAAAATGCAGGCACTGAAGGACTATCCTGCTCCTAGTTCCTTCAAACAGCTACGCAGATTTCTTGTCCTGATCAACTACTATCGACGTTTTATCCCACACTGCGCGAGCATTATGCAGCCAATGACCGACTTGCTCCGCGGTAACCAACGAACATTCCACTTTGCAGACGATGCCCAATTGGCTTTCGAAAAGCCCAAAAAGGCTATCTCCAACATAGCGCTTCTCGCCCACCCAGACCCATCAACACCACTCTCTTTGACAACTGACGCACCAGACACTGCCGTCGATGCAGTTCTTCAACAACTCATGGACCATCAATGGATAAGTCTAGGTTTCTTTTCGAAGCGTTCGCAACCTACGGAACCGTATTACAGTACATTCGGTATGGAGTTACTCGCTATTTACCTGGGTATCAGACATTTCCGTCACTATCTTGAGGGTCGACATTTTACAGTTTTCACCGACCTGAAGCCACTGATCTACGCAAGTAATGGTGCAATAAACAAGTACTTTCCGAGAGAAATTAGACATTTAGATTGCGGCTCTCAGTTCTCGACAGACGTACGACATGTCCCAGGTGCTCTTGATCTCGTCGCGGACGATTTGTCACAAATCCATCAGATCAACTTAGCTCCTGGGTCCAACATCGACCCAGCCGCCATGCTTACCGCCCAACAAGCTGATCCCGACATGGACAAGCTTAGACACAACATCACGCTGAAACTACGCGAAGTTTCACTAACTTTATCTGAGGGGACCTGCTAGGTCTCGAACGGCCACTGACCAAATCTGGTAACTTGCATGGAAAAACAGAATTTCACACAGACCAAAGTCAAATGCGCACAGAAACGAAACAAATTGACTTGTTCGGGAAGGTAAGTGCGCAATTTACCCAAGTAACCTTATGCCTTGTATCAGAACATTTTTAGTTACAAGCAGACTAGTTTTTTCTGTCTTGCAGAACATTTGTTACTATCGCTTGTTTCATACCAATCACACGTCCCATGATTCTTTGAGATCGATAAATACAAACTAGCACGCAGCCATGACATGAACTGTATCGGTGTGTTTTCATACCCACGTCGGCCCGTTCTGTTTTTCGTAAATATACTTCTCGTCCGGTGGGTTGTCTTTTGACTCGCGTGGCGCAATCTAAACTGCTAAGTTGAACTCCTGAGGACACAACAGATTCTGGCGACGGAAGTGTTGCACAATAATGTCCATTTCATTTGAGCAGATGCAGCAGCTTCTCCATCAGCAGCAGCTCCAGTTCGAGAAATCCCAGAGGCAATTGTTCGAGTTATTTGCGCAGAAGTTGAACGGTCAATCTGAGTCCCAAACTGCTGGCACACGGTCTTCAGTAGGCGCGGTCATGACAGCAATCACAGAGTTCGTCTTCGATGAATCAAATGGAGTAACTTTTGATTCCTGGTTCAAGAAATATGAAGATATTTTCCGTGTTGAGTTGGCGGCGCAAGATGATGCATGGAAAGTTCGGTTGTTGCTGCGTAAACTTGGTGAACTTGAGCCACCCACACTCCAACACCCAACCTGGGGGGCCAGGAAACTGAGTTTGGCTGGCCTCTAACCATTGACCAATCTGGTATGAGCGGCTTAGAAGGTGCAAAAAGCACCACCTAACATAGCTCAATAGATCACTGAGGCACACAAACCATCGCACCACGTTAAGGTCTAGACTCATTACGATGGATGCAAAAATAGCAATTGGCTATTCCCAATAGCAATGGTTTCTCCGTCTCACGGGCCTTTGACACCTAGCAACGTTCCCGGTCGTTTCTAGAACCCCTTGTTAGTCGTCGTTTCGAGGACGTTACGGACACGCTGAAACTCAGTACCCAATAGTACCAGTTTCTATGCCTTGAGCACACTGATTGATGGTCTAGAATTTCATTCATAGTTAGGACGTCTCAAATTGGGCGCAAAAAAACGTCAAAAGCATTCATCACGGAACAACTGAGACGATTCCAGTCAGCATTCGGATCATCAACCCTACTCTTCATCGACTACTGGTGAACCGGTACGTCATGATTGTTGAATTGCGGACGGCGTGTTCAATTTACAACTGGGAAGCTTAGAAGTTAGGCGATTTTTACAAGAGGGAATAGCGAATCCCAGATCTACCCTCATTAGAGCATAGTTGGGATCCCGCCAAGTACTTTCGCTTGATCGACAGTCATGAACCGATGTGCGCCATCTATAAAGGATAGCAATATAGTCTATCGGAGTCAGTTCAGGAAGGATTCAGTGAGCGTCAGGTGATGCGACGTAAACGTTTGTGTTGGAAAGCAGTGTTGCTAATGTGGGGATTGTGACTGGTGCACAGTTGCAGGAATTGATCAGCAATGTTTATTTCAGCGTGAATCGACCCTGAAACTGCATCCCAAGTGTTGTTCAGAGTCGGAAAGGCGACCTAATCGGGCATTCATGTAAGTATTTTTCGACATACGGAGAAGGGATGACAGCTGACGATGGAACTCGTCTATTATAACCGCTGAACTGCAGTCGGTGAGTGCATGAACGGAAAAGATGAAAAAATGACTTGTCTTCAGACGGTGCTTAGCAACCCCAAGAGAGGCTTGAAATCAAACAGCAAAAATGTGGCAGCCCACTGGAATAGATTGGAGTGGATTAGCCACAGTAGTTGCTGAGGGTGAATCCCCCACCATACATACCGCCAAAGACATGATCAATGTAGTCACTGTAAGCGGATTCAGAACCAGAGAGTTGAAGATTCGTCACAACGCTGCTATCTTGTATGCGTGTTTCCCAAACGCAGCACACACCAGTACCAAGAGAGCGAAGAGTGAGAATTGGTATCGCACTTTGGTCGATCTGACCCAGAGTGCGGACGTTAAAAGAACCAATGTGAAATGAGACCCATGGTTTGAAGGACTAGATACATGTTTCGACAGCATCAGACGCGAGTCCAGCGGTAGTCTCTTGCTCAACAGACGGGGAAGAGGGCTGAGAGGGGAGAGAAAGGGAAGAAGAGAGTATTGTTGACGTGGTCGAGAGGGAAAATGATATTCCAACAGTCTGACCCACAAGGCAGTGAAGGATATGGAGGTTCGCTTAAGTGACTCCACTCAGAGCCTTTGGCTCAATAGCCTGATCCAAAAGGCAGTGGGGAGCAAGTTCAGCTCGAGAGTGTGATTGCAAAGACCCGGTGGAATTTGCTTGGAGTTTGTCGCACGCAGCCCTTGAAGATTTAGAACGGTCAAGATGAGTTTTCGACCGTAGCATATCACGCGCCTGCAAACAAGGCCAAGGGTATGTGGGAGGTTTGAACGCATTCGACCAGAAGCGACCTGGCTTGAGGCAAGCGCTGCTTTCCCACCGTCAGAGACAGTGTGTACTTGAGTGCCCCTAACGTTTCAAACAAAAAAACAAGGCGGGCATTGCAAAACCCCATGGTAAACATATGAGCCCATTGAGCCACTTACTCCCATGTGTCATCAAGGCTGGCCTTGTGGAATGTTAGCAAAAGTATCGAAAAAGCACGAGCGGCATGGATCAGAGATGAACAGAAAGGACAAGTTCAGTGACCAAGCTATATGAGTTACCTATGACTTACCTGAAACACCCTAGTACCTGTCACTGCAAGGCGGCTTGCCCTTGCTGCGCTAAGCTGGGATAGTTGTATAAGCAGAAGGTAATAGAAAGGTGCTTTCTTCCGAAGATCTACAACACATGGGTCGGCATCAAAGACTTCCGTAAAGGCATCCTAAAGAAAGGCGTGAGATGATTGAAAAAAAGATGCATATGAAACACACTCTATATATCAATGGTAGATCAACTGACACTAACTGACGACGTCCACTTCCGAGGGCAAGAGCAAGCCAGACAGGCAAATCTAATTTGGTACCGCTCGAAATATCGAGTTCAAGTTCGGTGTCATCGGCGTTATCGTTTTGCAGATCACGATGCGCTTGCGTAGATACACTGGTTGTGTCGGAGAGCAATAAGGAGGCCAACCCAGGAAGAGTAACGCGGAGCCTGCAAGAGGTTCGCTCGCTTGAGGCAAGTATATCATCCAAATTCATGTACGCTTCAGCATGAGTGAGAGATAGAGTGTAATCAAAATCGACGAAAGAAGACTGCCTGTTTAAAAGCAAAAGGAAATGGTGACGAAAAAGTCGAGAGTAATTATAAGCAAAATGAGTAAAATTTGAAGTGATTCGGTAGTGGATTGGATAATGGAAAACCGAAAGAGACAAATATCTGGTGGACTTGCGGACGCCGGCAGGGATAGTGCAATGCAAATGGAGTAAGGCACACAAATTAGATGCAGAGGATAGTCAAGTAATTAATAAGGAGGTTATTAGTTTTGTTCAGTTAAACAACTTTGATTCGGGCGTCGAAGTGCGGTGGATCCAGTTACCAGTTGTCAAAATAATAACTAACGACGGCAAAGAAAGGAGGTTGAATGCAAATAAAAAACAAAGATGAAATCATGGCAGGATCATCAATATTATACGTAGATGATTCTAATCATTATACATGTTAGCTAGAGGTGGGAAACACCTCAGGTATTGTGCCGCAATACACAAGAAAAATGATGCAGTAAAGGATGGACATTGTTCAGGAGAGCCAGCAGCCGGCTATTGTACCGCAAAAAAGGTTACATAGTGCGTCAGAAATGAGATCGTAGTTGAAGAAAAGCCTAAGGGAGATGGACAAAGAAATTCACAATACAAACGCCACTGTGATCGGCTCCTAGCCATGTCAGAAAGTGTATCCAGCTCATGGTGTTCACCGACTTTCGGACCCAACCAGAGAGCCGAGAGGTTCCAACCGAGGTCAACCTCGAACTAAGGGTCTTCATTGCTCTCGACCAAGTCATCGCAGTGCTACCCGTCCTCTTCTTCCATTTACACCTTCCGGCGCGCAAACGCACGTCGCGTGAGTCGTTGGGTTGGGATGCGGGAAACGTGGCCGAGCCATCGCAGCGTGGTGCGTGAAATAACGGTGCTGAGCGGCTCATTTTCTCTTCCTGTGCCGTAAACAAGGCGTCTAACACGCTCAATGCTCACACGGCGTTCTTACCAGATATGAGCCAAACTGCGAAGGTACCGGTGCACGAACGTAACTAGTCTCTTTATGTCTACCCATTCAATGGGCCAATTTCAGAACCGTACTGTAGGGTCGAACGTACGGCTGCATTGTACACACCACGCTTCAGAGGGAGATAGTGATATCGCGCCGGTGCCATAGGTTAGCACAAACGCCTCAAGCTTTTGCTTTACGGCTCGTGACCTGGTCTTCGATTCCCCAGGACACACGGAGACACGACCCGCATTCACTGATTTCCGTGCATGAAGACCAAGAAAGCCACCACTTCGACCTAGAGAACGTAAAGATCTTAGCCTGTGAAAATTCGAGACAAGCTAGAGTTCTTGTAAGCATGGTATTCTACTGACAATTCAATAAACCGAGGCGTTGAAATAGACGCTATATATATATATATATATATATATATATATATATATATATATATATATATATATATATATATATATATATATATATATATATATATATATATATATATGGTTGGCGGCATCCGGTTTCGGATTTGCCTGTCACTGTGGCAAGCCACAGGACGCTTGCGCCTACAGAGGGACCATGGATGGCTTGCGCTGCACCACCCACAGCTCCAACCACACACCCCATATCCAGTGTAAACCCGAAGGAATAAGACCGGGAGGCATGCGGATGGGAACCACGTTTCAACAACGGAGCCGGCCCACACTCCTTCACAGGCAAACACAAGCACGCTGTATTTGGGGAATCAAGCGCACACAAGGCGGTGGCTGGACCGTAGTCCGCTCCACACTGAGTGCATGGAACCGCTCTTTGAGCCTAGCACGGCCACAAGAACCGTGCACCCCGTCCCCTCCAGCAACGACCAACTGTCTCCTGGAGCCAGTATGAACGATGTAGTGGGTAATAGACAGGTAGGCACCTTGTCAACATACACATCAAGCGCAACCATACAAGGGATAGCAAACAACAGCCATTCACTTTAAACGACAAGCTGAAATAAAATAAATCCAATAATGCATACAGATACGGTGGCATAACTCTTCGCTAAATTACCATATGAAGTAATTTGGTTAGCAACAAATCCGTGATCAGTAAGAAATGTCCACAAGTTACTTAAAATGCTACAAACGCAACAAAATTACCGAAGATAAGCGCAATTAGTGTAAGCAACGTGGCCAGTTAATAGAACATGATTCAGGGAAGCAGAACAAACCAAATAAAGCGGAATGAAATTTATCCAGCTTAAAAAGACCTAGTTTAAGTGTAAGTTGGTTTAGCCCAACTGCGGTGAAGAAGCATCAAGAATGCAACATCAGCCACAGCATGGGGCACTATATATATACATATATATATATATATATATATATATATATATATATATATATATATATATATATAAACAGCGCCACGGATGGAAGATTACCGAATTGGTGGATTAAATCTAACGGAACAGAACACCAGACAACTGCGTCAAACGACGGCGATAACCGAAGAGACGCGCGCGTACGCTACGAGGCGAGAATCAGAGATCGATTTCGATGATCATGTGCCCGTCGAACAATGCAAACTCAGACTAACGGCTAGAAAATCGATCACTCACAAGCACTGACGCTTTGTATCGCGTCGCTCTGCTACATAAACGCGCACTGACGATGTCACCTCGGGTGGTGATGAAACGTTTGCAGTCAAATTGCCGAGTTCAACGAACACTCAGAACACTAAGTTACAAGTTTTTCGGGCACATCTTTCCTCAGAAGACAGCCCCAAACAACACAGTATCACTGAAGCAAAGGCCCACTGAGTCGCCAATATGTGTGACGGTGTTCCAACTACTGAGGCAAAATGAAACGGTGATCCATGCAGTCTCGAAGTAGACGAAATCCAACTTTCTGCTCACGAACCTGACTTTCACAGGTGATAATCAGTAAAATAGCATTCTTATTCTTGACCGTGCGAGAACCGCCCATAAAGGCATGAACTGTGAAGGATGACAGAGGCAAGTAACTCGGAAGCGATGAACATCAGACTGATTCCTCTATAGTTGAAGTATTCTGAACTGGCAGCTCCCAGTAAAATCGGGATAACAACAGAGAGGCGCCAGTCGATTGTGACAGTTTCCAGCTCCCAGTTTCTCTAGGAACTCGTGTAAATCATCCACAACAGCAGGTCCCATGAACTTGAAGAGAACCGAGGGAAGATCATCTGGTCGCGCGGTTTTATTCAACTTAACCAGCCCGATCTCACGTTTGACTTCTGAGCGAGGGTGGATCCAAAGGAACAGCCCAGAGAGCAGGGCTATCAACGGCCGGCGGGAAATCTGACAATTTCGTCCAATTAAATTACCTTCCAAAGTACTCAGTTCAAGGATCCAAACGTTTTGGTTGTGGAATGGCTATCCACGACCGTCACATATAGTTTCGCTAACAGCAGGTTCCCTGCTGTCCGTTTCCGTATCAGACGGAATAATTTCCCGTGGTTACCAAGGGGGGCGGCCACTTCTATCTCCGACGAGGATGAGACCACCGAGATTTGCGGTCTCTCTTCAGGCTAGCAGGAAGCTTTTCCCTAAAGTCGTTGCGAGTCTTGTTGTGGTCACCTCTAGCCGGAATGAGCCACCGAGCAGCCATATGTTCCAAAGACTAAGTAAAGAGACCCAATGTTCAGGTAGTTTAGTGGATTCACCACACGAGGAGTTTCCTGCTGCTTGAAAGGTCTGGTGAACATGTGACCAGTGACCTTCAATTGTATTCAGTGAGCATTTACTCAACCTGAATGCCATCATACATCGATACGTTTTCAGAACACCTGACTTCGATCTAATGCGGATGTCTGTGTGCTCACAGTGTCGTCACGGGCGTTCGTTAAAACGTACCGAAGATCAGCACATACAAGCGCATGGCCAGTGTCCACACATGTGCTCCAAAGCAAGCGATACTTTTGGACACGGATTCTCCAGCGGTAACTGGTCTCGATGTGATTGATGTGCGCAAAAGCGTAAACAGAACTACTAAAAGAAAATCAACTGACGGACCACAGCATTGCTCAGGCGATGTTTCTACAAGTTGCTTTTTCTGTTTTCAAGAAAGTGCTTCAAGGGTGAATATTCAGCTATAACACACACGCTTTCGACACAATGATAAATGTGAGAAATACTCCGTAAGTACTGGTGATAGAACACAGCCATCGTGACGAGAATGGGCTTTAACGTGGTCCGACGGCTTGCATTCCTGTGATACATTGAGCTACGCTGGGTGGAACTTTATTAATGCCCTCATAGTCACTCAGTCCAAACAGGTCAATGGTTATGGGTCACCCTAACCCCGTCTCACAATCCTCTACGGTGATTAGGGAGAAGTCGATGGCCCTCTCTCCTTAAAACCTGGCCACAGGAAACAACAGGTTTACGGGTTATAAGCTCACAGCTCGATTGGCGTAGAGCAAGAGCGCCACGCATTGTCACTGATGGTGGGAAGACACCACCTTGTAATCTGGCAGCGCGGGTTCGAGCCTGCGTAGGGACAGGGCGACCCTCGCAGTATCTTATCCAACGTGCGACCAGTGGTGGTTGCGCGGCAGCGAGGCGTCGGTACGTAGTACCGACGTGCTATTGATGTCCTTCTTCCTTTTTTGTGGATCAGGCTGTTGTCGAGTCAACGGTTAAAGGTAGGGCACCTCGAATAAAACTACTCTCTGGGAATAAGCAACCGGAGCTCATCATCTGTCGTCTTGACCTAGTCGACAACACTTTATCTCGTTTTCTTTCCCTCAACTCTTTCTTTCGCCGTCCATTGAGCAAGAGACTGCCTCTGACCTCACAGCTGCCGTGATCGATACTTGTAACTCGTCCGTCAAACCACGAGCCTTGGTACACATTGGTACTTTTAACTTCCGCCCTATTGGTAAGACTAGTCAAGGCTCACACTTCCCTCCCTTGGTATTTAGGTGAGTTGCCTCCGAAATACGCACACAAGATAACATTGTTGTGATAAACTTTTAACTCCTTGGTTCTGAATCCGCCGACAATGACTATATTCTTCGCGTTTCTAGTGATACTA